CAATTATGTAAAGAAAAACTAGTACTTTCATTGACACCTTAGTATGCTTATTTATAAAATGCATTTTTTTTAACTTATATTATAGAGTATATTTTATAATCTTTTTATGATTTATTTTGTATATATTATAATCAGTTGTCCCTGTAAACGTAAATACTTTTATAATTGTTTGATGTACCGAACTATTCAAATATTTTTTTGTTTTCGTCCTAGCGAGGAAAAAAATCAACCTACGAGAATTTGTAAAGATACAATTTATATAGAAAATATTAAGGTCTATAATTTTTATTCTATACAATTTTTCGTTTTGAGCTTTTGTTGTTGAGATATTAGCCGAAAACTAAAAAAACACCCTATTCAGTGGATTTTCAACCCTCATTCAGCACCCGAAGGGGGTAAGTAAATCTTACGAAACTCAACAAAAATCATTATTATCTAAAAATAAACAAAATAAGGGGGTGCCGCTATGTTTTGTTCAATTTTTTTTTTAGCCTTAGTAGATAAAGACCAGCCTAATATATATATAATATTGATGACACGCACGTGCGTACGGGTACGATAACCAAAAATAAATTTATACAGGAATAGTGTTGCCGTCATGTGGTGAGCAAGACGTGGGGTGGGGTGAATGCGTTATGACAGTCTAGTCTCAAGGCCATAGACGACGGAATATGCGATAACGCTTGGAAAATTACAAACATACATACATACAAGTGAAACTAATATAAGCGTGTTAATAACATAAATTTTATGTCAACACCGACGGTCGCCGATAAGCGATAAGGCATCTTGGGTTTTGTTAATATGTAATTTAGGAAGGTATAGCACGTCTGTGTATTATCAACTTGATCCGGATGATATCCAAATTAGTCCAATGGTATTACCCCGGGCGCGTCACTGTTTTAAATTTTAACGTTACGCTATAAAAATAAGAAAATATTGTTATGCCACCGACTCGGTGCACCTCTTGGCCGGGGCATTCAGTTTTTTTTCGCCTGTTATGAACACGACTTATATCTTACTTAAATAAAAAATTAATGACAATACTCTTCCAAGGAAAAAGAACAAATGTAAATTTATTGATTGATAATCACAGTATTAAGTAAATTAATATACCAATATTACTTACAAAGTATACATATATATATATGTTTAATATGCAACTTGGTTATTTTATTCATTTAGTTCCCAAGTTCTTCTAATTGGTTATTCCCCGTATGGACATCAAAATTATCCTGGTGACAAATTACGATGATGGATCTCAGCTGCGGGCCATCAAGTTGAGGCACTCCACTACCCGTTATATAATCGTTCTAGTATAAGCGCCAGACTGGCTCGCCGAACACGCCGACGCTCAACAATTTCGATCGCGTTAATCGGTGGCACGCAAGTGGCGCTACATCTGATCGGTGGCCAAACAAATATAGATTATGTAATGTATAACCTATATTTTCATGTTTATTTAAATTAATTGTATTTTATCTTATTTAAATAAACATAAAAATATTTAAATTGTAACATGACAAAAAGGTACCTCTTCATTAATCGCAAATGTCTATAACTAATTTCAATGTAACATTAAACTTTTTATGACGTCTGCTGAACAATGTAAATCTAAAGGTTGCCGCAAATGCAATGATAGGCATAATATAATACTTCATTAAAGACAAAGAAACAAAACAGTCCACTTCTACTACGCTACACTCGTCATGTAATTTCAAAAAGCTAATACTATTATCAACAGCCATAATAAAAATAAAAGACAGCGTATCAAACACATAGTATGCACGAGCTTTGCTGGACTCGGGTTCACAAAACACTTTTATAACGGCAGATTTAGCCAACAGTTTAGGCTTACCAAGACGAAAAGTTAAAGTAACTATCGCTGGGGTAAATAAAGCCATCACACAGTCTTAGTACTAAATTGTAGACACTATAAATGCTAAAGATTCAAGTTATTCTAAAATAATTGAATTTTTAACATTGCCAAGAATAACCACCTTGTTACCAAGCGAACGATTAAATATGAAATAGGAAAAATTGCGCGATCACATTAAACTGGCTGATCCGTCATATGCGGTACTGGAAAAAATAGACATGTCTAAAAATAGAGTGTTTTTATGAAATACTACTAACGGGTAAACACACAAACGATAAAAGTGGTGTCATTTACTAGGAGACGGAACTCGGTTAGATAGTAGCTGGTTCGACGCCTAAATTAGCCACGCCAACAACACATTTATTTTTTGCTCAATCGCTATTGGTGGAGGATTGAACAGTTTTAGAAAAATAAATGAGAAAATTTTGGGAAATTGAGGAAGTAACAAATAAGAAGACTCTTGGCCAGGAAGAAAATTTATGTGTTAATCGTTTTAACCGTACTGTAAAAAGAAGTAATGCAGATGGCCATTTTTTAATCGAACTACCGTTTCGTGAAAAAAGTGAGCAACTTGGTCGCACCCAAGGTACGGCCCTCAAGCGTTTGTTGCCAGTTGAAAAACAATTAGCGAATAGTTCAGATTTAAAAATGCGTTATGTAGAATTCATGAACGAATTTAAACAATTGAGTCATATGTCAAAGGGAAGTTCTACACAAAATCAGGCTTCAGAAATAAATTCATATTTTATGCCTCATCATGCCATTGTACGTGACGACAAAGTTACAACAAAAACGCACATTGTGTTTGATACGTCATGCGCCACCGCCAATGATAAAAGTTTAAATGATATTTTGTTAAAAGGACCTATAATGCAAGACAAATTGCTGTGTATTTTGGCTCGGTTCCGAATTCATAAGTCCGTGTTATCATCAGACATGACAAAAATGTAACGTCAAATTCTTGTGGTTGAAGAATACCGCAAATGGCAAAAAATATTGCAGAGACCTGAATTTTCTGAAAAAATCGAAGAGTATTATTTTAACACGTTAACTTATGGAACTACGACAGGAGCTATACCTTTTGGTAATTTTTTAATAGTTGCTTTAATTTCTCCAGGACTGAACGTAGAATGATGTAAGTTTAGACAGTTATTTATCATGTATAAAACAAAATAAAATAACATTTTTAACTTACCCATACATTTTCGAAAAAGTTATAACAATATAAAGTCGAAAAATAAAATATGAAATCGAAAATTTTAACATAAAAGATAAAGTTTTATCGCCCACCATAAAGTTGTATTAAAACAATAGTAATTTATTTCAATAATAATTGTAATTCTGACTTAGAATTTTTAATATAGTACTAAACAATATTTGTTCTATATGACAATAACACAATTTTGTAATAATTAACTTATATTAACAATAAACTAATTTTTTTAATGAGAATTTTTAAATCAACTACAAGGTTTCTATAAACTGGTTATAATTCAAATAACAAAAATTAATAAAATAAAAATAAAGAAATTTCTTAGATATTCGACTGTATATGGTGAAAACCTGATCTTGTGGTTCTATCGGGATCGTATGGTTCGAGGGTTTAGAACGACAAAGACAGGTAGATATAAAAATAATAACACAGTACCTCTAATTGAGGTGTAATAAACTTTTGTCTAGTTAGTTTCTAATGTCCTAACTGAGAGGCAACAAAACGGCAGAGCCAGTTCACGAATACCATATAACGTGATAATGTATATTTTTTTAACCAATCAGTCAAAATTAACACTTAAAGATATTAATTTAATAAATGATCTATTGCTTTGTCATCCTTTACTCAAAGTTAATAAGTTTGAGTAATTGGGATAACATAAATTTACTTACTTCATTTATTCTTGCAAATTGCTGTAAAATTATTTAATAAATATCTCGATATGTTTATGTATGCTTAGAAGTATTTAATTCGCACTTCGTCACAAGATAAGTAATTAAAACTAGTTCTTTTCATTTATAAATAAGACGCGTAAAAGTCAGCCGACAACAACACAAGACTGTGACTGATAATTGTTTCTTTTTTATTCTTATTTGAATTCTGCAAAAGCGAACTCTCTTATCTGAATGGATTTCAGTGCTTTATATAGTGTAATATGATACCCCCCCCCTAGGGATATTGTTGTCAGCGCTTTTAACAAATGTCAATTTATTTTACAGATTAATTGTTACATGATTAATACAATATGATAGTATTGTTAACAATGGTTAAATTATAGTATTGAACAGTGTGATCATTATGACAACTAATTTTAATTAGTATTAATATAAAATACAGATTATAGTATTTTTATTGATAATTACATAATAATGTGATATACGTGTATGCCAAGCAATTGGTCATATACGAAAAACTTGACTTAAGAATGAAATCAGGAATTTTGTTGAATGCAAATTTCCTATGAAATTACAATATTTAAACGTATTATTGTTACAATTTGTCAACTATATGGAAGCGTAAATATGACGATAAGATGTACAAATTTTAGCCAGACAATATTTATAATATGAGATGAGAGAAGAAGTCTACTATAAAACGAAATAATAAGTTGACAATTAAGAGGCTAGGAAACATGAGACCATAGTAAAATGAATAATAAGTATGCTCGATCAAATTAGTGCGCATGATATGCCTAGGAGCAAAATATGCAACCAACAATAAACTCAACGTGACGTCACATGTAAATACATTGCGTTGTATGTATTCTATATTAAGGTGNACATTGCGTTGTATATATTCTATATTAAGGGGCACTGTCCCGATATAGCCAAGTATTTTAATGAACTTTTTTTAGTGAACAATAGTTTCATGAAAATAATAAGAACTGTTATTAGAAAGTTAAAGTGGTGTTAATTCAATGTTAGAACATGAAAAAATAAGTCTGTACACTAGTTAATATAGCTCACGTTTAATTAACGAGGCACAAAATCCTAATTTTTCATTAAAATACAAAAGTTACAACAAAAAAATACATAGAATCTAAAATAAGTATCCACGATTAAATTTATTATAAAATATTATTACAATGCGTTGTTTTAAAGTAATTAATATAATTATTACTTAAAAATTATGTCTATCATATATATTATATCAGAATTATCAATTTAAAAATCGCGCGATTTTAAAGTGCATTCGGCAGCGGTCGTATTTCACCGATCGTATACGAATGCGCAAAAACATAAGGCGATGCACTTGCGTGTACTACGACAAAATGCGGACTGTGATCGAGCATACTTCTTATTCATTTTACTATGCAAGAGACTATGATTTTTTAGTGTGTAACCGCTATCCTGACGGATTGACTAGACCAGTGATGGGAGAGACAATCGGTGACCAGATTTTAACGATAGAATTTGCAAGACACAAATAAGTTGTTTTACTCGTATAATAGACAAATTAAGATTAAAATACATCAAATATTATAGTACTACATCATTTATTTTGTAATATACAAAATTGTACACAATAGTATTGTATAATTATTCATAACTTCTTATTTTGATAGCGATTCATTAGATTACGGAACTCTGAAATCATATTTATGTTATAAATATTATAAGAAACATTAATTATAAGTAAATTAATTAATTTTATAGGCATAATGACAAACTTAATTAAAAAAAAAACGGTAGCACAGTGGGGTCGAGGTACAGTGTGGACGAGGCATAGATGGGATAAGTATAGATGATATCTGACAGTGATTAAAATCACTATCATAAGAAACGCTTCGATGCAAATCTGTAGATAGTGTTTCATTTAGAGAAATTGGTGGATTATTCTAAAAGCAACACCAACTCTTATTTCTTTAATTATATCCTGATTAGTAGTTCTTTGATTTTAAAATATAATATATGAATAAATACTAATTATAGTTGATAAATTTAGTATGAAATTTATATTCAATAATTTAATATTGTAATTTATACGGAGAAATTATAATAATAATAAAGAAGTTATATTTTACATAACTTTTACGTGTATAAAAATTTAAAGGGCTTGATAAAATATTTTTCAATAAAAACTGTTTGTTACTATAAATAAATGCACTGGACTATAAGAAACTTTCATCAGAAGCAAAAATATACTTTTTTAAATCAACATTTCGCGTTGTTTTTAAATATGCAATTAGACTTTTTCTATCACTTCTAATGTTTTATATTATTACTAATTACACATAAAATAATAATTAAAAGAAAAAAAATTTTTTTCAAATTATTACTGATTTGATTTTTAATATGTTAAAAATAATCAGTCCATTTTTAACCTATTTTTTTTGGTTCTTTAAAGTTGATGAAATTTTTTGATAAAATTTTTGTGAAAGTTTATAGTAAAAAAAATTGAATATGTTACCATATCTTATAGCTCAATTACAGGTTTCAAATTGACATCATTAAATAGAAAATTCTATGAGAATTAAAACAGTGCTATTTTTAAGATTAATATGCAGTCAGGAAATTTTATAATTACTATTTATAGTAAATTTATCAAAGTAGCTCAATATTTTTTTGCATTTTTATCGTAATAGATAACTGAAATAGAAATAATAGTAATCATTTATATCATTTGTATCATTTATCATAATAGTAACTTTTGGTGTTTAAAAAGATTCTACAAGTGAAATATTCAGAACTTAATTAATTTTAATAAATTGCTTTAACTAAATGAACCAATCAAAACAAAGTTGTTAAAATGATTTACTCAATTGTGCGTATTATAAAATTTGATTATAATTGTAAAAATCCATTGTTAATTCAGGAGAAATTCACTATCATTTTTTTTTTAGAAATAGCTACATGTTACCAAAATATTTGGAATATATAGACTGGTAGTAGCACACACAAATAGAGTAAAAAAATAATTAAATTACAAAGTAAAATGTTATATTTTTGTATTTGAAACCTATCATATCAAACTTGATTAGTTTATAAAAACTTTGAAAATATTAGAAATGAATGATTTTAATTGTCTGTATGGAGAACATGGGATAAGTTACTGTTTCATTGATAAATTAGAATTTTTTTCAATTTTTGAGGGTAATATCTTCAACTAAATACGAATTGTAGTCATTTGACGTATCGTTGATAAAAGTAGGTCAAGTTAGAGCAGAGAAAATAAATGATACTCACAAAAAAATAACTTCTCAGCTTTGCATCGAAGCTAAAACTTAAAATATAGTAAAATAATATTAACATGCATAAGAAATTTCTTCTCGCGAGTGGCGAATACAGTGATGGGATACTTGATCTATAATGAAGTTATTGAATCTAAATGAGATAAAGATCGAAACAGTTGATAATTTATTCTAACTTAAAAATAATTTAAAAAAAAAATTCATTGCCATAAGCGGGTTGGAACCTTGTACCCCGAGCGCGTAAAACACAAGGTTAACCGACTCAGCAACCGTACGTCACTAACACGATTGAAAAAATTGGCTATTTAAGCTAGTTTAAATTTCAAAATTATTTTTCTCGACTTCAAAAAGCAAAAAAAAAATTAAATAAATTTCACTTTCTATGCTATATCAATTTTTTATTTATATAATTTTTATGAAAATCTGAACTCTCCTTGCCAGGTATCTTAAAATAAAATTCAAAACTCAGAATTTTACACAGAAAAATAGCATATTTTTGAATACGGTAGTCATTTTTACCATGAAGACAAATCCAGAGGTCAATTTTTTTTTTTCAAATTAAAGTATATAACATTAGCTTTAATTTAAGATATATATAAAAGTGTCAGACATTCCGGAACATTTTCAAAAATTAAATTGAAAATTACCTAGTTTCAATACGCATGTTTAAAGTTTTGACCCCCTTATATAAAGGGGTATGATCCGATTTACAAAAAAAGCGTGTCAGATGAAAGAGGTATATAAAAATTTATTATAAAAATACAATCTCAATAAAAACCCAGCACAGGGGGGTCACGGCACAGTGGTGACGTGGTATAGATGGATCAAGTGTAATGATATCTGACAGTGATTAAAATCACTATCAAAAAAAAACGCTTCGATGCAAATCTTTAGATAGTGTTTAATTTAAAAAAATNGCAAATCTTTAGATAGTGTTTAATTTTAAAAAATTGGTGGATTATTCCAAAAGCTTCATAAACTGCTAGTTCCTTATTAATATCCTGATTAAGATAAAGTATGTCGAATGAAAAAGGATTATTAAAAAATATTATTTCTCATAAAAAAATTATGTTGATCCATACACTTTTTAATAAGTTATATCATTATAAAGTTAAAAATGTAAAAAATAAAATCGAGAATTTTCACACAATAATAGCATTCGGTAGCTATTTTCACCGTGAAGACAAAATAAAGTCCGAATTTTTTTTTTTTTGCATAATAAAGTATATTACATTAGCATTAATTTAAGATATATATAAAAGTGTCAGACCTTCCGAAACACTTTTAAAATTTAAGTTGAAAAAGTTAATTTTTTGTGAAAAAGTTGTCATTTTGAATCCCCCCCTGTAGGCAGGTAAAAAGTCAGATTTATAAAAAAATTATACCAAATGATAGTTAAAGACATCATGCATCCATAAAAAAAAGAATTATATTGATCCATACATCTTTCGAGAAGTTATAGCATTATAAAGTTAAAAATATAAAAAAGAATTTTTTTACAAAAATCGTATTTTTTTTATTAAGTTTAATGTCTGTTTTCACCATGAAGATAAAATAAAGTCCGAAATTTTTTTTTACCATAATAAAGTATATTACATTAGCTTTAATTTAATATATATATAAAAGTGTCAGACTTTCCGGAACACTTTCAAAAGTTAAGTTGAAAAAGTTCTACTTTCTACATGTATTTTTAAGATTTAAACCACCCTTGTATATAGGGAAATGGTCTGATTAAAAAAAAAAAGTATGTCCAATGAAAGATGTATATAAATACTACTTCTCATGAAAAATTTGTATTGATCCATACATTTTTTAAAAAGTTATAACATTTTAAAGTAAAAAATGTAAATTATAAAATCGAGAATTTTCACACAAAAATAGCATTCGGTAGCCATTTTCAACATGAAGACAAGTCCAGAGGTCAAATTTTTTTTTTCAAATTAAATTATATTATATTAGCTTTAATTTAAGATATATATAAATGTGTCAGACCTTCCGGAACATTTTTAAAAGTTAAGTTGAAAATGTTTATTTTAAAACCCCCNTTGTGAAAAAGTTGTCATTTTTAAAACCCCCCTGTGGGCAGATAAAGGGTCAAATTTACAAAAAAAATATACCGAATGATAGGTAAAGACATCAAGCATCTATAAAAAAAAAATTATATTGATATGTTCATTTTTGAAAAAGTTACGGCAGTTTTTAATAAAAAAAATTGAAAAAATTTCGAAAATTAGCGATTTCTAAATTTGTAATTTTTTTGGAGGTTTCCCCCATTTACAGGGAACGAGAGAATTTTTTTCAATTTTTAAGAGTAATGTCCTCGACTAGATACGATTTGTGATCTTTTGGCGTATCGTTGAAAGAAATCCGTTCGGTGAGAGCTGAGAAATGAAAAATAAAATCGAGAATTTTCCTACAAAAATAGCATTCGATAGCCATTTTCACCATGAATACAAGTCCAGAGGTCAAATTTTTTTTTTAAAATTAAAGAATATTACATTAGCTTTAATTTAAGATATATATAAAAGTGTCAGACCTTCCGGAACATTTTCAAAAGTTAAGTTGAAAAAGTTATACTTTCTATACGCATTTTAAAAGGTTTGCACCCCCCCTGTATAAAGGGAAATGGTCCGATTTTAAAAAAAAGTATGTCGAATGAAAGAAGTATATATAAAGTATTTATCATTAAAGAATAAAGTTGATTCATGCATTTTTTAAAAAGTTATAGCAACATAATGTTAAAAAATGTAAAATATAATATCAAGAATTTTTTCACAAAAATAGCATATTTTTGCATACGGTAGTCATTTTCACCATGAAGACAAGTCCAGAGGTCAAATTTTTTTTTTTCAAATTAAAGTATATTACATTAGCATTAATTTAAGATATATATAAAAGTGTCAGACCTTCCGAAACACTTTCAAAATTTAAATTGAAAAAGTTAATTTTCTGTGAAAAAGTTGTCTTTTTAAATCCCCCCCTGTGGGCAGATAAAGGGTCAAATTGACAAATAAATATATCAAATGATAGGTAAAGACATCAAGCATCTATAAAAAAATAAATTATATTGATATGTTCATTCTTGAAAAAGTTACGGCAGTTTATAGTAAAAAAAATTGAAAAAATTTCGAAAATTAGCGATTTTTAAATTTGTAATTTTTTTGGAGGTTTCCCCCATTTACGGGGAACGAGGGAAATTTTTTCAATTTTGAAGGGTAATGTCTTCGACTAGATACGATTTGTGATCTTTTGACGTATCGTTGAAAGAAATCCGTTCGGTGAGAGCTGAGAAAAAGTGGTAACAGACACAAAAAAAAAAAAACACATCATAGTAAAACCAATACCTTCTCAGCTTCGCATCGAAGCTAAAATAATAATATTGATCAATACATTTTTCCAAAAGTTATAGCAATATAAATTATAATAATACAATTACAAGCATTTTAAAACAATGAGTGCGTATGTAAAGTGGTTGGGTACGGCTCGTAAAAGCGCATATTAATAGTAAATATTCCTATCAAGTTACAGGCCCACTCAATGTATTAAATGTTACAAACTCAATAAGCACGTGACCTAATAATATTATTGACTTATTAAGATTTATTGAAGAAAAACTCTAAATATCAAATATTTAAAATCTTGAAATAATAAATATTAAAAATATCATACTGTACGGTACTGTAATTTTGAGATATTTTTAAAAAAATTTTAAATTTAAAATCTGGTTCGTTTAACGTAGTACTTTTTAATAAATCACACTGTATAGTGCGGCTGTATTTAAATCTTAATGTTGTGTTTTTGAAATGTCTATTCCTCTCACGCTAATTACCTTCTCAATATATTAAAATGCTTTTTACACAAAAAGGACTTTTCCTAAATTTGTATTAAACCATTAAACTTTTTTTGTAAGAAAAGCTCTAAAAAACGGCTATTTTGAAATCTTGAAAAAATTAGTTTTTTTTAATTTTAAAATAAATAACAAAAAATAGATTTAAACATAGTCTAAGAATATATAAACTAATTTTTTTTAATTTTATCATAAGTAATAAGTTTTATTTACATCTAATCTGCCTAGTATATTTATATAGAAATAACATTATGTGTGTTAAATGAAAAATGATTATCTTTATCGAATTTATTTATATCTTTATTGTTAAAAATATTTCCTTAGATTAATTCAAGTATTCTTTAGAAAATTTAAATTCTGGATATTATGTATAAAAGCTATAAATCTATGTAACACTCTATATTTAGAAACCAAAAAATTTGATATAATTCAAAGTCAATTCCATATTTATTCAGCAGTTTTACTGTAAATGCTTTAAAATAAAATTGTTTTATTAGAGACACTTTTTTTTTTGCAATTTAGTTCAATTAAAACTATTCTTTTATGTATACATGTAAAACAAACCCAGCACAGTGGGGTCGCGGCATAGTGGAGACGTTGCATAGTTGGGCCCAGTATAGATTTAATCAGACAGTGATTAAAATCACTATCATAAGAAACGCTTCGATGCAAATTTATATGGGAATGATACATGATCTGCTAGTTCCTTAATATAAAAAATAAAATCGAGAATTTTCACACAAAAATAGCATTCGGTAGCCATTTTCACCATGAAGACAAGTCCAGAGGTCAAATTTTTTTTTTTCAAATTAAAGTATATTACATAAGCTTCAATTTAAGATATATATAAAAGTGTCAGACTTTCTGAAACACTTTCAAAAGTTAAGTTGAAAAAGTTCTACTTTCTATATGCATTTTTTATATTTAAAGCCCCCCCATATATAGGGAAATAGTCTGATTTAAAAAAAAAGTAAATCCAATGAAAAATGTATATAAATACTACTTCTCATGAAAAAATTGTATTGATCCATACATTTTTTAAAAAGTTATAGCACTTTAAAATAAAAAATGTAAATTATAAAATCGAGAATTTTCACACAAAAATAGCATTGGGTAGCCATTTTCACCATGAAGACAAGTCCAGAGGTCAAATTTTTTTTTTTAAATTAAAGTATATAACATAAGCTTTAATTTAAGAANAAATTAAAGGATATTACATAAGCTTTAATTTAAGATATATATAAAAGTGTCAGACCTTCCGGAACATTTTCAAAAGTTAAGTTGAAAAAGTTAATTTTTTGTGAAAAAGTTGTCATTTTAAATCCCCCCCTGTGGACAGATAAAGGGTCAAATTTAAAAAAAACATATACCAAATGATATATAATGACATCAAGCATTTATAAAAAAAAAATTATATTGATTTGTTCATTTTTGAAAGAGGTACGGCAGTTTTTAATAAAAAAAATTGAAAAAATTTCGAAAATTAGCGATTTCTAAATTTGTAATTTTTTTGGAGGTTTCCCCCATTTATGGGGAACGAGGGAAATTTTTTCAATTTTTAAGGGTAATTTCTTTGACTAGATACCATTTGTGATCTTTTGACGTATCGTTGAAAGAAGTCCGTTCGGTGAGAGCTGAGAAAAAGTGTTAACAGACACAAAAAAAAATAAAAAAATAAAAAAAAACACATCATAGTAAAACCAATACCTTCTCAGCTTCGCATCGAAGCTAAAATTAATAAATTACAAAGAAAAATTATTTACTTTTGTAGTTGAATACATTTATCATATCAAATCTAATTCGACAATGAATACTTAAAGAATAATAGAAATTAATGTTTTTAATTGTTTGTATGGAAAAAGCTGGTTAAGCTACTTTTTATTTGAATAAGGAATATTTTTTCGATTTTTAAGAGTAATAACATAAACTAAATACGAATTGTAATCATTTGACGTATTATTGAAATAGTAGGTCTAGTGAGGTTTGGCAAAATAAATCGTAGCCACAAAAAGAACCACATAGTAAAATAATATTAACATGAATATAAATTTGTTCTCACGAGGGGAGACTATAGTGATAGGATCCTTTATATTTATTGAAGTTATTGAATCTAAATGAGATAAATATAAAATGATTTAAAAATTTTATTCTATCTCAAAAAAAATGCAAAATATTAATTGGTACAGACGGATTCGAACCTCGTACCCTTAGCGTGAAGACACAAGTATTACCTATTCTGCAACTGTTCGTTGCTCTCGTCGCACGAAAAAAATGGTTATTTAATCCAACTCAAATTTAAAAATTACTTTTTCGACTTTAAAAAAGTAAAAAAATTTAATAAGTTTAATATCTTGTCTTATGAACTTTATTCTATGTCAATTAAATTATAAAATATTCATCAAAGTCAGTGTATTATAAGATATTTTAAAATAAAATAAAATACAAAACCCAGGATTTTTACACAAAAATAGCATATTTTTGAATACGGTAGCCATTTGCACATAAAAGATAGGTCGACGGGACAAATTTTTTTTTTAATTTTATAGTACATGACATAAGCTTTAATTTGACATATGTTTAAAGGACGCAGTATTTCAGGAACATTTTCAAAAATTAAGTTGAAAAAGTTAGTTTTTGTAAAAAAGCTGCTATTTTAAATCCCTTCTGTGTGCAGAATAAGTGTTAGATTTTCAAAAAAATGATATCAAATGAAAGGAAAAACTAAAGGTTTCAATATGAAGAAATATTAATTTGATTTGTTAATATTTGAAAAAGTTATAGTAGTTTTAAGTACAAAAAACATCCCCATAGAAGATGATTTTTATCGCAAACATTACATTTTTTTTAAATTTTGACAGCCATTTACACATAGAAGATAAGGTGTCGGGACAAATTTTTTTTTATAGTACATAACATAAGCTTTGATTTGATATATGTTTAAAGGATGCAGTATTTCAGGAACATTTTCAAAAATTAAGTTGAAAAAGTTAGTTTTTGTAAAAAAGTTGCTATTTTCAATCCCCCCCAATGAGCAGGTTAAGTGTTAGATTTTCAAAAAATTGATATTAAATGAAAGAAAAATATCTAAGGTTATAGTATAAAAAAAATTATGTTGATTTGTTGATTTTTGAAAAAGTTATGGATGTTTTAAGAAAAAAAAGTGATAAAAATGACAAAATTTATCGATTTTTAAATTTGTAATTTTTTTGGAGATTTCCTCTATTTGCGGGGAACGAGGCAAATTTTTCAATTTCTAAGGATAATATCTTCATCTAGATACGATTTGAGATCTTTTGACGTATTGTTGAAAGAAATCGGTCCAGTGAGAGCTGAGAAAAAGTGGCAACAGACACAAAACAAAACACATCATGGTAAAATTAATACCTTCTCAACTTTGCATCGAAGCTAAAAAGTGGCTTTACTACATATATAAAAAGGAAAAATTAAATAATTGTATTAATCTGTATATTATTCTGATAAATATTAATCTGTAATACTTTTTTCACTAATAATTATTATAAAGTTGAACTTCATATTATAAAAAATTAATTCATAGATATTTTACAAATTATTAACTCTTACTATAAATACTTTTTTTAATTACCTTGTATAGTGATTAATTTGTTTTCTTTTAATTCGACAATATTGAATAGTTGCTCTAGATGTATATCTAGTATACATATGTTAGTAAACTCCTTCATTCTTTCATATAAATCATTATGTCCGATATAATTGTCATTATCTTTATCAAATAGTTTAAAAATATCACCAATTGTTTTATGTTGATTGTTTTTCCATAATTTTTTACACGTGTAGAATATGAATTTAATAAAATCAATCGTCTGGCCTTCTATAATATAATGCACAAATAAGTAAAATAAATGAACTAGTAATAAACAGTAAATGATCAAAAACTTTTAAAAAATTAATGATATTATTGAAAATAAACCTTTAACTTAAAATAGAAAGTTCATTTTACTAATTTTATTATCGTTTATCTGATTTTTTTGGTTACGTTAAAATAAATTGCGAAAATGTATTATGAAAAATGAGACCGTTTAGTTTCATAAAATAAAAAACTTTAAAAAATTACTAGACTGTCATAACGCATTCACCCCACCCCGCTCAATAGACGCAAACAACACTATTACTGTATAATTTTATTTTTGGATTTCGTACCCGTTGTTGTAATATACTCGTCTCTATTATAACATGAAAGAACAGAGGGCTACTAGAACCCACAATAATAGTTTTACATTTAATATTTTTATTTAAAATAATATTAAGCAAATATTTTAAAGTGGCAACGGTGGTCGCTATTTGACTTATTCTATTTCAATATAATGCGTACGTTTATCAGTTAACATGAGGTTTACCTTATCCTCCAGTATATGGCACCGTAGGAGGAGAACAACCATTTTCGAATGGCTACTTGCCCCACCACTGACATGAAGTTATAGTGCGCAGGCGCACTACAGTTTATAACCGCCATTTTGATTGACCATAACACCACGACCTTCACCCCAGACTACCTCGTTCGATCGTTAACCTCGCAGGTATTCAAGGTAGCCGCGATATAAGCCACTTTTAGTGGACGAATAAGCGTAGCGTTCGAGGGAATTTGTTTAACGGGTGAGTGAGCCCGGTAGCCTGATGAGGTGACCACCTACTATTTTATTTCTAAATAAAAATAATATCTTAAAAAAAAAATGGTAAAATCATTAAGACTTATTAACTTAGTGAATAAAATAAAATAAAATTATGATTTTGTATATTTAATAATAAATAACATAATTTTATTACTTTTTTGAATGGTCTTAAAGTGATTTATTGTACCAAATAAATCTTCGAAATCTAACTTTGTAATAGCTTTACCGTCATTCGGAAATAGTGAATAAATATTTTGAAGTTCAAGTATATCCTGTTGTGAAAATGGATTTTCCTGAAAATATAAATAAATATTTCATTATAGTTTAAAAATGTTACAAATAAAAAACAATTTGCAATGACATATATATGATAACACTACAAAAAATGTTTTCTTACATAAACATAATGACGAGGTCTACATTTTGTGTTAATAATATACACCAAAATACAAATGTAGTAGTGACTTTGATGTATAATAAATTATAATTTGAACAGATCTAATTGTCAACTCATAACATTTAATTCCATTGTGGTACCTATGAGATTTAAAATGTTCATACTATATGTGTAACTCTTAACCAAACCAAACCTCTTGTTATACAAATTTTTAAAAATGTTGTTTATTGTACTATAAAAAAATTATTTATTTAGTAGAAGAATACCATAGTTATCTCAATTTTTTTAAAATTATATTTCATACATGATAAATATCAACCTAAGTTAATTATCTACTGTGATTATTCAACTATCGAAAAAAATATAGTTAATTTGTTTCAATTTTACCATGATGAGTTTATTTTTTTTTGTGTCTGTCACTACTTTTTCTCAGCTCTCACTGGACCAATTTTTCTCATAGATACGTCAAAAGATCACAAATCGTATCTAATTGAAAGAAATACCCTCAAAAATTAAACATTTTTCCCTCGTTCTCATGAAATCGTGAAAATCCCACAAAAAATTACAAATTTAAAAATCACTAATTTTTGACATTCTATCAATTTTTTTTCCAAAAATTGCCATAACTTATTGAAAAATAAAAAAAAATGAAAATAATTTTTCTTTTATATTAAAATCTTAAATAATTCCCTTTTATTTGATATAATATTTTTGAAAATGTGACCCCTTACCACCCCACAATAGGGGTTTCAAAATAGCAAATTTTTTACAAAAGTCAACTTTTTCAACTTAATTTTAGAAAATTTCCCGGAAATATTGCGTCCTTTAAACATATGTTAAATTAAAGCTTACATTATGTACTATAGTACATATATCAGTTAAAAAAAAAAAAATTTGTCTCAACGATTTATCTTCTATGTGCAAAAGGTTGTCGTAGTTAAAAAATATGCTAATTTTGTGTTAAAATTCTAAAATTACTACAATGATTTTCATGAATATTATATAAAATTAATTGGCATAGAATATAATGTTAAACTTATTTAAATTTTTTTTTTCATAAAAGTTGAAAAAATTTATTTTAATATTTATATTAGTTTAAATTGCCGATTTGATCAAAAAACGAATGCGACGAACATTTACCGAATCAGTAAACATCATTGCCCGTGGCAATGATTTTTTTGCAATTTTTCCATAATTAATTTTTTTTTTTTTTACAAACTACCAAATGGCTTTATTATTTAAACGATAAAATTATCTTTATAAATATATTTTACAATAATTGTATATGAAACATAGTTTTATAACAATTAATAAAGAATAAACATGTGTGGAGTGACACCTCCAGCGAGGTGGCTCCTTAACCTAAGTTAAAACTAAATATTTTAAATTAAGTCATATGGTTTATGACGTTTAAGACGCCTGATGTCTTCGGAGTTGTCCAAAAGTTGGATGGCTGCTGTGTTAATGTGGTTCGTTAATCTCACCTCATGTTTGCGAGCAAATCTCTTAATTTCTTCTGCTACTGTAGGCAAAATCAAATCACGGTGTATAATGTCATTTCTATCGTACCGATAAGCTGAAACGATGGTACGGAGTGCAACATTTTGGCATCGTTGAATAACATCAATATTAGACTTACTAGTACAACCCCACAGTTGTATACCGTAAGTCCAAATTGGTTTTATGATAGCTACGTAAAGTAGACGTTTGTTATTTAATGAAAGTTCGGAATGTTTCCCGATCAACCAGTATAACTTTTTCATTTTTAGTTTTATTTGCAAACTTTTCTGGCGTACATGGTGTTTCCAATTAAGACGTGAGTCTAAGTGCATTCCTAGGTATTTAGCCGAATCTTTTTGTGGGATAATTTGATGATTCATTTTGATAGGAATATTATTGGTATTACGAAGTGTATAATTGACATGTACTGATTTGTCACTATTGATTTTAATTTTCCAACGTCTTGTCCATAAGAAGATATTATTGATCGAGTTTTGTAATTTACCAGTTGCAGACTGTTGACTATAACTGGTTGCTAATACAGCCGTATCATCAGCGAACATGGCAGTTGTCGTATCATTGGTTGATGGAATGTCAGCAGTATAAAGTAAATACAAAATAGGTCCTAAAACACTACCTTGTGGTACTCCTGCTGTTATAGTTTTCCAATCTGTAACAGCTTGCTCATGCATTACCCGAAACTCTCGTTCAGTCAAGTAAGATTCTAATAACGCGCACCAAGTGTGTGGTAGTTGTTCTCTTAATTTTATAAATAGTCCTTCATGCCAAACTTTATCAAACGCCTGCGCAACGTCTAAGAAAACTGCACAACAGTACTTTTTCTCTTCAAGAGCCTGGTTAATAACATTGGTAACTCGGTGAACTTGATCAATTGTAGAGTGCTTATTGCGGAAACCAAATTGGTGGTCAGGTAAAAGTTGCTTTTCTTCAATCAATGGTTTTATCCTTTTAAGAAGAACTTTTTCAAAAAGCTTAGATAAACAAGGTAAGAGTGATATTGGCCGGTAAGATGTTACCTGATCTGGTGGTTTACCTGGTTTTAGTAACATTATGACCTGAGCTTTTTTCCATAGTTTTGGAACGTATTCAGTTCGTAAAATTGCATTGAAGATGTATGTAAGATAAATAATCGCCTTCTTAGGCAATTCTTTTATCATTCTCGGGCTGATTTCATCGTAACCTGGTGCTTTTTTTACATTGATGTTGTTATCAATTTCTTGCGCCACTTCTAATGGTGAAAAATATTTTATTTTCTCCCGATTTCTATCTAATTGTAAACTATAGAATCCGTCAAGTTCTGAGACTATATTATTAAGTTTAAATACAGTCTCTAAGTAACATGCATATACTTCAGCTTTTTCATATTCACTTCGTGCCCACGTACCATCTTCTTTGCGAATAGGTGGCACGTGTGTTAACGGCCTTTTTAGTCGTTTAGTAGTTTTCCACAGAGAGTAGTCAGTATCTTGGGTTGCAGAAAGTTCGCTCAAGTAAGTTTTAAAAGTTTCGTTTTTCATTTCTTTTATTTTGTTGTGGAGTAACCGACTGATGTGGTTCCACTTTTTTTTGTCAGTAGGATGTCTCGTTCTATGCCACGTTCTCCTAGCTTTTCTCTTTTGTTGTACCAACTCTCTGATTTCTATTGGGTAGGTGATCTCTCGTATTCTTTCTACTGCAGCCTTAGGTGTTGCAGTTTTCACTGAGTTAATTATATTATTGGTAAAATTATGAACTGCCAAGTCAATGTCACTGGATGTTTGAAGTTTAACGGAAAGCGAAAGTGAATTTTCAAGTAACGTTCTGAATAAATCCCAGTTAGTTTTCTTAGTCGTTAAAAATACTTTTTTTTGTTTCATAATAACGTTTGTGCTTTGAGTGAGTAGTACGGGTGTATGATCCGATGTTAACTCATTGAGTCCTTCAACTTTTACATAATTAGAGGAAATACCTTTCATCACGTAAAAGTCTAGTAGATCAGGAATTTTGTTAACGTCAGAAGGCCAATAAGTTGGCTCTCTTGTAGAGACAGTTATCGCGTTTAAGCTATTTATTACTTTAAACAAAGAATTACCTTTAGGGGAGTTTAATCTCGAGCCCCAATGTTTATGTTTAGCGTTCCAGTCTCCTCCGACAATAAACCTATCGCCTAAAGTCTGAAAAAATTCGAAAAGATTAACTTCATTAGCACCTCCTTGTGGTGGACAGTATATGGCTGTGACAGTGAGGTCATTGGCCCCGTCGTTTATTCGAACACTTGTTGCTTGTAAATGATTTTCCGAGAACTTATCTAGCTCATAGTGCTTAATAGACTCTTTAATAATTATAGCTGTACCTCCACGTGCTCTGTTGGTTGGATGAATGGTGGTATATGTAATATAATTTTTTATTTTAAAAAAAGTCCAGGATGTAAAGTGAATTTCAGAGATAAGAGCAATATCTATATTTTCATGATGTAGAAGGTTTTCTAATTCAAGTTTTCGCTGTACTAGCCCATTAGCGTTCCACGCAGTAAACCGTATGGTACGGGTCATTTTTTATTATTTTTACGTTTGTTTTTAGGTTTAGGTTGGTTGTTTTCTAACCTGTCTAATCTTTCAGTTAGCATTGCTAATGTTTGAGTAATACTAGCTAAGGAATTTATAACTTCCACAAAGGGTACTTCCTCATTTTTCACATGATTTTTTTGTTCGAAAGTTTGGGGTATCTTTAAGTTTTGGACTGATGAACCAGCCATTTCAGCGTATGATATGCTGGTTGTAACAGATTTCGCTAGTTTACTTTGTAGTCTTTGAACTGCTGTAGTTTTTTTTGGGTGAGAAATTTCAACTGCTTTTTTATACGCAGCGCAGCCTTTCCAATTTGCGGTATGATTTTCTCCACAATTGGCACATTTTGATTTGGTCTTTTTGGATTTTGTGCAATCAATTGACCTGTGTTTTTCTCCGCATTTTACACAATTAGGAGATTTGTGACAATAATTTAAAGTGTGTCCAAATAATTGGCAGTTCTTGCACTGTGGAACTCCTTTTGTTTTCTTTGGTGGCTCCACTTTAATAATTTGGTGACTAAGCTTTTTTAACTGGTATATGTCTTTATTATTATCTTGAGGCTCTAGATCAACAAAAAATAATGGTAGACGAATAAATGTCCAGTCACTATTTTTATTTTTAGAGTCAACTTTTTTTTTAATTTGTATATTTGATACATGATTGGCCAAGTGTCCTTGGTCTGTAAGATCACGCTTTATATCACATATGTCAGTTTCAGGGTGTAATCCCCGGATTACTACCCTAAACATTTTTTCAGATTTAAGTTGGTACCTATGGTATTCAATTTTTTGCTCTTCTAAAATTTTAACAGTACGGCGAAATTGAT